GTTTGCCCACCTTTGGGAAAAATGGCTAGGAAACAATGTTTCCTGGTTTGACCACCTTTGGCAAACATGGCTAGGGAACAATGTTTCCTGGTTTGTTCACCTTCGGGAAACATGGCTAGGAAACAATGTTTCCTGGTTTGCCCACCTTCGGGAAACATGGCTAGGAATCAATGTTTCCTGGTTTGCCCACCTTCGGGAAACATGGCTAGGAAACAATGTTTCCTGGTTTGCCCACCTTCGGGAAACATGGCTAGGAAACAATGTTTCCTGGTTTGCCCACCTTCGGGAAACATGGCTAGGAAACAATGTTTCCTGGTTTGCCCCCCTTCGGGAAACATGGCTAGGAAACAATGTTTCCTGGTTTGCCCACCTTCGGGAAACATGGCTAGGAAACAATGTTTCCTGGTTTGCCCACCTTCGGGAAACATGGCTAGGAAACAATGTTTCCTGGTTTGCCCACCTTCGGGAAACATGGCTAGGAAACAATGTTTCCTGGTTTGTCCACCTTCGGGAAACATGGCTAGGAAACAATGTTTCCTGGTTTGTCCAATTTTGGCATGGCTAGGAAATAATGTTTCCTGGTTTGTCCACCTTTGGCATGGCTAGGAAACAATGTTTCCTGGTTTGTCCACCTTCGGGAAACATGGCTAGGAAACAATGTTTCCTGGTTTGTCCAATTTTGGCATGGCTAGGAAATAATGTTTCCTGGTTTGTCCACCTTTGGCATGGCTAGGAAACAATGTTTCCTGGTTTGTCCACCTTCGGGAAACATGGCTAGGAAACAATGTTTCCTGGTTTGTCCAATTTTGGCATGGCTAGGAAATAATGTTTCCTGGTTTGTCCACCTTTGGCATGGCTAGGAAACAATGTTTCCTGGTTTGTCCACCTTCGGGAAACATGGCTAGGAAACAATGTTTCCTGGTTTGTCCAATTTTGGCATGGCTAGGAAATAATGTTTCCTGGTTTGTCCACCTTTGGCATGGCTAGGAAACAATGTTTCCTGGTTTGTCCACCTTCGGGAAACATGGCTAGGAAACAATGTTTCCTGGTTTGTCCAATTTTGGCATGGCTAGGAAATAATGTTTCCTGGTTTGTCCACCTTTGGCATGGCTAGGAAACAATGTTTCCTGGTTTGTCCACCTTCGGGAAACATGGCTAGGAAACAATGTTTCCTGGTTTGTCCAATTTTGGCATGGCTAGGAAATAATGTTTCCTGGTTTGTCCACCTTTGGCATGGCTAGGAAACAATGTTTCCTGGTTTGTCCACCTTCGGGAAACATGGCTAGGAAACAATGTTTCCTGGTTTGTCCAATTTTGGCATGGCTAGAAAATAATGTTTCCTGGTTTGTCCACCTTCGGGAACATGAACCATACCAGGATATTATTTAGGTTATCAGAAGAAACTAAAATAGTTTATAAATCTTATCCAGAGAGGCGTACATTCAACGTATGCGAGAACAGATGGAGCTGATGGAAAGCACAATGACGAAGAATGTCAACACATTACAAGTGATGACAAACAAGAATATGAAGTTCATTGAAGAAAGTGTCAAAATGGTGCGAGAGGAAGCGGCCGAAGAACGAAAACAAATGGTGGAAATTGTCAAAACTGTGCAAGAGAGGAACGCTAAGATGGCCAAAGGTGGGTGGAACCCTTGGTCGTTTCCCTTTGGCTGTTTTTAAATATTTTTGTTTTCTTTCTTACAAGATCTGGGTTGCCGAATACATAAGTAGGCAGCCTCCCAGGGGAGAACACCCCATTTCTATAGTTGGAGGAGGCAAACTGTCGTCTCTAGGGTATAGTTTCTGTAGCACCTTCACCTCTCGACAAGTAGCCACATGATTCTTTCTTTAGTATTTATCTTTCTAATTTTATTTTTGGAATTTTACCATTATTGTCCGTTTCATTTTTCTATTCTTCTTCGTCCTACCCATGCAGCGCTTTACAATTTATCCTTCTGAAAGTAGTATAACAAGTACTACAACACAACATCGCAACTCGAGTGTCCTTTGCGATCTCTGGCCAAGCATTTAATTAATATTTAAATTTTGATTTCATAGATTTGGCAGAACAAACTAAAGTAAAGAAAAAAGGACCTCTTGATGCCCTTATGGACTTCATGCCACTTGTCTCGTCATTTGTAAACATGATGGGATCGTTCAAAAAAGACAAAAAGCCCAACGCTGCAGCAGCAAAACAAACTTAATCTAATCTAGAGATTTTTAGTTTGGATTTATAAATCATTTGAACGATGATAACACATAACACAAAATTAAAAATATTCGAAAGGAGAATTGGAGTAATTTGTTGACTCAGTAGTTAGTGTGTGTTCCTTTCACTTCTGTAACTGGGGATGGATTCTTGCAGTATGCAGGAATGGCCCTAACTACTACACCTCTAGGAAGAACAGTTTAGAACTAATAGAGCTAAGTAAGGAGAGATTTAGTTAAGTTAAGCTTTAAGAAATTTAATTTTCTAGTCGCTTTGCACATTTATGTGGACCACAATATCAATTTTTCTATTTACAATTTCATACATGGTAAAGCCTGATTTCCATTTTGTCGCGATGGTCACAATCAAGGTGATTGATGTAATGTCGATATATTTTTGCAATAAGAAAATAGTGATATTCACACCGTACATAGAAGCTGGTCAGTGGCCATGATACGACTTGATAGAAACCAGACTTCAATATTGAACAACGAACAAACCCAAATAACAAAATGAATAATTGTCTCAATTGCTAAATTACAAACGATATAATTATATACTCTATTGTCTTGCAATTTTTTGTCTCTACTGACAGCTTCATTTCTTCTGTGGTGTACAAACATACTACTAGAGTAACCCTTTTGCCTCACACGCTTCCCACCCACGTGCTCAGACCATTGACAGCAAGATTTCTTGTCTCTTATTTGATGGAAAGATCAAAATTCACCTCCTAATTGGACCCGCATGTTCTGGTCAGATCAGAGTCTCTAACGCCCCTACATTTACAATTTTTTATCTCTTAGAGATCCTGGCAAAACTGAATTGTGTTGAATTTTTCTGCTTAACCTTTGCAAGACGTCTTCGTTGTGCTTCCAGACGTTTTCGCTCAATTTCATCCTTTGAATATTTCTTTTGACTGACGGTAGTTAGTTTAGGTGCGGAGTTGTTGTTGCATGGTTTGGGGAAATTAGTTGTGGCTGGAGTCTTTGTTGGCGCTTGTGTCATGGCTTCTGTTAGGACATCTATAAAGTAAAGTAAAGATACAGATATAACTTAGTATAAAAAGGCTCATGGTTGTATGAAAATAGAGCACGAGTTTGGCTACTATCGTGCAGCAGATGTTGGTCAACCTGCAGTTATCAGAGTGAGAAAACGTTCATTCTTTTCATTAAGGTTACAGGACACCCTTTTTGGCGTTTTGTGGAAAATCGCTACTGCGCGCTCAAAATCAGTCCGATTTTCATCAAATTTTCACCAGATGTTAGCCAGTGCATGCAAAATATGATAAAGTTGTATAATTGACAAACAATAAAATAATGTAAGAATTATTCAGGAAAATCTTAAGTCGCAGTACCTTTACGCTTTTGAGTTATGTTCCTGCTGGTTTTAAGATATATTTATGAAAATATCATTTTTATACAGTAAAATAGTTGTTCTAAAAAATTGTGTTCGGAAATTTCTGTTTATTTCGTCATTCCGCTGATATGGCGATTTCTTTGACGACTGCAATATATTTCTGAATCGTTTGTGTGAATTGCTCCTTATTATTAAAATATCCAAAATTAGAACAAAGCCGAACACAATTTTGAAACTGACGTAATAGCTATGTCCTGTGAAAATTTGAGAAAAATTCGTTAAAACCCGCAGGAGCACAACTCGTTTAAAAATTAGTAATTGCCGTAAAATTCTTCGGAGAAAATTGAATTTGAATATTACATTTTCAATGTTTTCTTATTGCAAGCGAAATGTATTTTATTAAATAACTCTGCGAGTTTTCAACATTTTTCGTCCAAACTTGGTCAGATAGTAGAACTAGTCTAATGCTTTCATGGAAACCAATAAAAAAATTTTAGGCAAAATTAACACCCAAAGGTGTTCTGTAACCTTAAATGTAGTAGTCTTGCAGCCTAGACATAGGCCTTTACTCGACTGGCTTTGGGCAGGTTTGGTCAATTTCGGGCTAGCATTTGCTAATTGTCTGGCTTCGCCACTGATAGGATTGTTGATCTGAATGAATTGTTATTTAGTGTATAGTAAGATTCAATAAGCGCTACATCCTCGGTCCCAGGAAGCGCTACGGACCAGAAGATAGGAATCTACCTCAGAAACTATCACACTTCTTGGAGCAAGCAAATTAAGCTACAATTCTCATTTCTATTTCTTTCAACCAAATACAAGACTACCAGCCTAGACCTAGCCTTCTATTATTATTATTTTTAATATTCAGCGCTTTTTCACATGAGAGGACTGGGAAAGTATCACCATGTAAATCGCCTAGGTCCCAGTCCTCTTATGTGAAAAAGCGCTGAATATTAAATAATAATAATAGAAGGCTAGGTCTAGGCTGCTAGTCTTGTATTTGGTTGAAAGAAATAGAAATGAAAATTGTAGCTTAATTTGCTTGCTCTTAGAAGTGTGATAGTTTCTGAGGTAGATTCCTATCTTCTGGTCCGTAGCGCTAGCTTATTGAATCTTACTATACATTAAATAACAATTCACTCAAATCAACATTCCTATCAGTGGCGAAGCCAGCACGACAATTTGGTCATGCTATGCAAATATTAAATCATTATTCATTTCTTTAGAAATTGGTTGTTTTCACGATCTATGAACACGGAAATATTTGCATAGCGGGACTAAATAGTCGAACTGGCTTCGCCACTGAATCCTATACCATACACCAAGTCAAAATTATTACTTACCGTCAAAATTGAAATCATCCAACAATGCAGCAAAATTATCTTCGCACAACAGAAAATCCAACTCATTTTCCTGAACTTTGTTATTCTGTTTTACACTTGAGTTTTGGCCCTGTAATAAACTTGACTTGCGTTCTTTTGAGACACTTGTTTTTACATTGCTATCTATAAAATTTGGCTTGCATTCTTTCACAATGTTATGTACAGAACTATAGTTCTTTGCAGCTGTTGTTTGCTTCGAGCAAGTCTCCTTCGATATTTCCAAGTTTGTCTGCAGTCGAGACGGCTTTTCAGGCGGATAACTCAAGTTCCTTGGTATATTTTGCAGAGGTGAAGATGCGCCTTGGTTAGTGCGTAGTTGCGTGCGCACGTTATTTCGAGGATAACGATTTTCGTTTGCACGCGTGTCGAATAATGTGGCTGCTTTGGGTGTAGTTCGTCTTAGGCTTAATTTCGTTTTCGTACGTGGGGTCGCCACGTTACTAGATGAAACATCCACAATTCCTTTATTGCTGCTAGTCATCTTAGCAAAATTTCCTTCCCCAAGCAAACTTGTCGAGTTCGTTTTCGCTGTTGGTACCTTGTCAAACTGTTTACCTTCAATGTCTTGTTTTTTCGGAGAGCATTTAGGCTTTGCGGTGATCGCTTCTTGCGATAACTCGAATTCTTGCGCAGCTGATGCGAGTAGCGAATCATCTTCGTCAAAATTAAATTCCCATTTGTCCACGAGGTCTTTCTGCTCAGGCACCTCCTGCGCATGCTCAGCAGAATGATTAGTATTCAAGACAACCTCATTGGTATTCAGTTTCGATTTCTCCTCGTGAAACAAAATTTGCGTTGGTTGCATCTGCGTCTCCGTGCGAGTTGTTCGAGACGGCATTTGCGTGAGTTGCGTCTCTGGTACAAAAATAACTTGCGAAGGACTCGCCCCACATTGTGGTCTAGGGGGATCTGGGACAGTTAGGGATCCCTTACCGGAACTACTTAGTCGACATGTAAGGATTAGCTCGTCCATGTCATCCTCAGTCCACTCAAAACTATCATGCAAGAGTTCGGAAATAGTCGTATTTGGTCCGGAAATTGTCGTGCCTGGTCCGGAACTAGTCGTACTTGGTCCGGAAATGCTCGTACCTGGTATGGTAGTACTGGTGAGCTTCGTGTTGCAAGGTTGGTTCGTTAAAGATTGAGTCACTGGTGTTACCTTTTTAGCAGATTTATCGTTTGTCTTCGCTCTGAAATTTAGTGAAAATTTAGTTTAGGTACAACTTGAAAGTGCCGTGAGAAATGTTTTAGGAATAACCAAATTCTTCTCTATCACCGTCCAGTGGTTTGGTTGAATTACATAATTTTAAAACGCGTGTGTAGTTTTGACCTACCTTTTCACCTGGGGTCGATCATCACTAATTTTACATTGAATTTCTTTCTGACTTTGACTGCTACCACTCAGATCTAACGTAACAAAACAAGCACATAATGTGATTTCTACAAGGTAATTTTAAACACTGTTTCAACAATTTTAGGGAACTCACCGTTCTTCTGAATCTCATCAACCAACTGGCGTATTTCAAGCATAAACTGCCTTGTCGCTCTTCGACTTTGTCGCTTCGATGTTCTCCTGTAGTTGGAATAAAGGAAAAAGGACATTACACTTCGTGGTTGTAAATTATTGTTACAGCTTGGTACACAATTCAACCACCACTCAAAAGGCATTCAAAAGTTTGGGGCCTTGCAAAATTAATACACTTTTTCGATAATTACGCCACAACTACACTGTTTTCAACTTAGGACCACCTTAAATGGAAAGGATTTCAAGTTGTTTTTTCTCATGGGCTATGCACAGAGAAGCAGAACATCCTTCTTCAACACATGCATAAAAATATTTTTTATTTTGACCAATAAATGTGGAAATAAGCTTTAACACGAAAACGAGGCTCCAGGTCATGACCTCATTTTCGTGTTAATGCCTATTTCTATATTTATTGATCAAAATCCAAATTTTTTCGCCCATGTGTTGAAGGATGTTTTGCTTCTCTGTGCATAGCCCATGAGAAAAAAAACTCGAATCCTTTACATTTAAGGTGGTCCTAAGTTGAAAACAGTGTAGTTGTGACGTAATTATCGAAAGGGTGTATTGAAATCACAATAAAGATTATTTCTTCTAAACAACCTCTGAATCAAAGGAGTAGAAAGTGGGCTTGTGGTCTTCTTGTATCTAGTTTGTCGAAATGGCGGAGATGTAAACTCTTCATCACACGCATGACCATTCTTCTTTTGATCTTCTTTGTTTATCCACATTTCCAACAAAGCAGAATGACCTTGATCCACCACTGGCGATGTCTGAAATAGAAGACATCAAAGTCTTGACTTGATAGGATTTTAAAATGAACTACCATGAATTAAACTTGGGCCTGTTTCAAACGTTGCCCTTCTCATGTGTCGAACGCATTAAAAACAATAGATCATCAGCTGAAATGCCTCATTGTCTGTTGTTTCTAATGCAATCGGGAAATTAACAATTACACGGGAAATTAACAATTACAAGGGAAGTATTTACAAAAACGAAAATTAAATAACAGTATAGTGCAGGGCAACTGTAGTATCCATAGGGGCTATTCGAGACAGTTGGCCTTTAAAACGACAAGTATATAAACATAAAGCATAATTAAAGAGGCAGATTTGACAAATAAATAATACAAACAATTAACCAAAGCTCAACGAATTACAACAAAAATACATTAAACAATAAATATTAAACAGTGTATGACCCATTTACTAAAATTGTAAATTCACCTTTGTAAGGCAAAGACTAATCATCATAACCAGAAATTACTTGTTGTTTTAATTTACGTTTGAAGGATAATTTACTGAGAGATTTAAGCAGAAACAGACCTAAGTTAACTCAACAAGTGACATATTGCACTCTACTTTATTACTTTACTCTGTCTAACACCAGACAATTTTACTCATCAAGGGCAAGAGGAGAGTGTTGGCGCTCAATAGGTCACTCAGACTATATGTGTCTAGTCATAATCTTGAAGTGTCTGTGCGAGTGTAGGTAGTGTCGATAATATGAACAAGCGTTCGTTGGTAGGAATGCAACTATCTGAAAATTACAAGGAGAATTTCGTAGCCCTGGTCTTCACTCGAAACGTTGAAGGGCCTTCGCTCGAAATGTCAAAATTCTCCTTATATTTTTCAGGTAATTGCATCCCCACCAACGAAAGCTTGTTGTTCATATGTGTCTAGTTAGCCCATTAAGTTGAATTGCACACTAATTCTCTCTATAATTTTACTCTGTCTAAGGCTAGACAATTTTACTCATTCGGGAAAGTGCTAGCACTGATGGATTAAACAGAACTTATACAAAATAACAGTAACTCCGAAAAACATTTTGATTTTTAATCGACGTTTCGACTAGTTGATTATTCTTAATCCTGAGGATGACTACAAACTAGTCGAAATGTCGATTAAAAATCAAAATGTTTTTCGGAGTTACTGTTGTTTTGTATTTTCTTAAAATACTGAGTGGTTCCCGTAAGAACTTATACGACTAGTAAACTTTAATCAAATAGGTACATATCAATGTCATTTAGTACTAGTTTAAAATAATGTACTAATTACATTTTCACTCAGTTTTTGCACGACAAATGAAACATCTGTCACAGGGGTTTCTTCAGCTCTAGTTGTATTTTGTTTTCGTCTTCGTTTACCTGCTAGAAATATTGAATAATGCAATACGTAACAGCAATAAAACATGCGAATGAATACTGATGCTTATTATATCTAAGGGATGAAGGCTGAAGATTGTAGAAGGTCAATTTTGCATGAGAGTGGCCCATTGAACTACCAAACTAAGGCTGTTCTGGCAGGGGGAAGGGCGGGCCAAGGGGTTCTGGCAGGGGGAAGGGCGGGCCAAAGGGTTCTGGCAAGCAAGATTTTATTTAGTATGCTTCACTACTGCAACTTAAATGATGATGCAAATATTATTTTACAGGTTCATCAGTGGACCAGCAAGTGGTCAACTCCTAGATCAGCCTATGAGCTGTGCGTCGGAGCCGGAGTACCAGAGCCCTGGGATATTTTGGGCAAAAACACTACAATGCCATGCAGTTTAAATTTTACTTTCTACAAAACATTGTTTAAACAAGCACCGAAGTACAGATATTTGATAAGTAAAGGAGAAAACACGAAAAGGAATAAAATAAATTCTGAAATTACACTGAAATACTTTTGCCTGCTTCTACTTTTGAATATGAAATTTCCTTAAAATTTCCTTGCCAGGGGAGGAGCCGGAGTTTTGACTGCCGGAGCTAAAATAACCGGAGTTTGCACAGCTCTACCCATGAAATATGATATAGCCTTACCTAAAGCAATAGTTGTTGTTGGACTTGGTGAGTTGTTGTCCCAAAGGATTTCTATGCCATTTTCACCTGCACTTGGTGCTAAATCAGATGACTTTCCCAATTTCCCTTTAAAAAGATGTTATGGATATATTATATAGACCCCCAGCTGTCTGCGATCTGTCTGCTATCGCAGACTATGAATATATATGATGTTATGATATATATATATATTATGAAATATATTCCTTTGTGGGTTTTACTGAGCATTAAGACTAATAAAAGGGACAACAGGTACAATATACACTCATTTGGAAATTAATATGTAATTTTGGCCATAGAGGCGCCTCATTTTCGTGTATACTATATGACATATTGTGTATATTTGTTAAATTAAAGTCCAATATCACATCACGAAAACGAGACTGTATAGCCAAGGTGACACACTTTTAGGAAGCGTGTATTATACAGGGTGTATAAAAAAAGGTAATCAAACTTCAGCTCGCTATTATATGTGAATCACTCAGCGTACGAACAATTGGTTTTCACATTCGGAATGATCACACTTTTAGCAATTGAATGACATGCTTTTCATTCCAAATGGAGAAAAAATAAGCATGTACGAGGCCGATCAAAAATGTTAGTCAAAATCACATATTTTCACCTTTGTGCCTAATTAAAAAAATGCATAACAAAAAGAAAAGCAATTAATCAGGAACATGTCGTAGCTTAGCTAAGATTTATTCCTACTTAATAAATATAATTATGAATATGTGCGTCGTTTATTAAAGTGAAATTCATCAACTTAAGTATAATAAGTACCAAAGAGGGTTCATTTTAAATCGTTTTAGACCCAACTCTCAACGGTGAAAATATGCGATTCTGACTAACATTTTTTATTGGATTCGTATTTGCTCATTTTTTATCCATTTGGCATGAAGAACATGTTACTCAACAGCTAAAAGCCCAATCTTTCCAAATGTGAAAAAATCTCGTTCATACGCATAGTAATTCAGATACAATAGCGCGCTAAAGTTCGACTACGTTTTTTTAATTTATACCCTGTAGAACACACATCCATTACATGGCTATATGTAATCAAATTTTATTTAGGTAGGTCAGCCTTCTGGGAAGGGTTTGGATACAGGTCAAGCATTGAATGACAGAGCAATTATAGAATACCAGGCCAATTCAAAGCTTCGATGTTGTTCTAATGGTACATACAGTAACATTCTTGTAGTAAAGATAAATTATTTACCGCCTGACCCATATCCAAACCCTTCCCTATAACCTGATCGTGGTGACCGATCTATTCAGGTTATTCAACAAAAATTGATTCCATCATTTCCATGCAGCCACATAGTCATGTAACAAGCATGACCGAATCCGAAGACCAAATGGGTATTCTAGAACTGTACCGCGGCAATGGTAAATTTCTATATATAAAATAGTATTGCTAATTGCTCCATGAATTCATGATACGAATGATAGTATATAAAGTATTTATATAAAACTATACAATATTTAAATAAACCTAAAAGTATTTATATAAAACTATACAATATTTAAATAAACCTTGTGTGATATAAAACAAAACCTAAAATCACATGATCACAACCACTATTAACCAAGACATTTTTACACACACTTTCTATTTACCGAGCGTTGAAGCACTTCGCCGAGAAGGGCCATTTGGCGTCTTGCAAAGTTTACGCTTCTTCATCGGAAAGAAGTCACATAAACTCATCCCTATAGATTCTCTCATACATTTCCTCATCTTTATACATTGTAAAACCGATCCAGATAAATCTATTTGATTTTCAAAATTCCACTGATTTTAAGATGGCGCCGGTTTTTAAAACAAGCAGCCTCGTTTCTGCGTGTAGTCACGTGCCAATCTAAGCAATTCCAATCCACCATGGATGACCGTGCGTTAGATTAGGCCCTGGAGCACTTTAGTGCAAAAGTCCCGACGCTGCTCGTGCACGGCCGGGCACCCTATTTTTATACCAAAATCCATCATTCTGAAGAGATACTCACGACCACAAGGCCGTCTGTATACTAAATTCTAAAAGTATAGTAAAATCTGATATGCTTTATAGCCACAGACCGCCGTGGTTAAGGCTGGGATTACACTATACCGGATTGATTTTCATACCGGATCAATTTTCACACCGAAGCCAAAATCAAGGGTGTTTACACTATGCCGCTTCGCTCTGTCGCCAGCTCGTATCTTTTATCGTTGCCACGGAAA